TGATTTGCTGTAAACTGCCTACATTAAATTTTATCCTAATATTTTGATGCACAAAAATTAATAATAGCTCACTGCATTTGCCCAATACGTTTTTTGTTATGTTGTAAATCTTAAATAAAAAATGATCTTAATCTTATTTTAAATTAATTTATGTAAAAAAATATCTTGAAAAAATTGTAAATTCGTCCCTTTTCTCAGCACTTAGCCAATATAATTATATCAGGATTGTTATGTTTACTATGTTTGTTCTATTGGCTCTAATTCTATTCACTTTTTTTATTTTCCTATTGTAAACTTTCAGTATTAAATTTTACTAATTAAATACAAAAATATTTTAAATTTATTATTTTACTAATGGTCTACGATATGTATCTATCTATATTATTTAATTCTGGGAGTGTACGTTTTAACATTTTTGATTGGATCAGAATTGAAAAATGTGATATAAAACGTGATCTAAGTGGGAAAATTAATTAATTATTGCAACATTTGTTATGTGGATAACCGAAAAAGACATAAAATTATGACATTTGTCATAATTGATATCATAATTGGAAATTAATTATGTTATAGTACATCATGCATATGTAATATTATGTAATATTTTATTCTAGGTTTAAAATGTGATCAGAAAATGGTATAACGAATTTCAAAATTGTAAAATAGTTCACCGACCTTATTAAAGCCTTGCAAACCCAGGGACGGGGAATACTTCCACTATCAAATTGGAAATTTTTATCATACTAATATCAATTATTCCATTTAGTCTATTTTATTCCATTTTATTTCAATATCACCAAAAAAAAAATTTTTTACAAATCAAAATTTAATTTTCAAAATAATTTTTAATTTCCAAAGATAATTCCAATTATTACGTAATAAATAGTAAGATTTTATTGGCTATAATTTATCATTTTATTTATTTTATTCCATTCTATTCTTAATATAAGTATTCAGTATTTATTTTTCACGTGTGCAACAGTGTGCACATGTGTTCGAATCCAATCTAAATTTTAAATAAAGCAATTTGATTGGATCCGCACACATGTGCACATAAAAAATGAACACTGGAAGTATTCACCGTCCCTGTGCTAACCTTACTTAGAGCTAAATGAATTAATAGCTGACTATATGTAAGTATCAAGGCAGCTTTTGTCTCGAATCATGTAATGACCAATCAAACATCTGGTTATAATTACATGATCAGTCGATTAGTTAATTGATAGATCATACAGTAGCCAACAAAAATAATGGCTGATAGTTTTTTTATAGTAAAACATATAAAAAATTGAAATTTATAATAACATAAAAGTCAATATTCTGAGATGTGGCGACTTAGTGTAGTGGTCTAGTTGTCACCCTCTCCAAGCTAAGAAATAGCGATGATCTATGACAGTACTATATGAGAGCTGAATTCAAACCAGGGCCCAAGATCGGAGAACCAAATAATTAGGTCCTAATGGCAGAGAACACACCAGCCAAACTGCTGGGTTCTGTCACACTGGAAGAAAAGGGCATATGCTTCAAAAGTATATACCAAGGGGAGGTGTCCTTCAAGTACCTAAGGCCTGGGCAGACCAACTCTTCTGGGTTGCCGGCTAAAAGTAAGGGAGGGACTGATAAAGAATCTGGGTAAGAAGACAGTACCAAATATGGGTATTGGGGTTGTTGTGAACCTTAATAAGGGCAAGAAGTAGGTAATAGTCAACTGATATGGAAAGGTTGTAGCTTGAGATACAGACCAGGTTATGGTAGCATTCTAAAAGATGGCTTGAGATACGAATCCGGTGTTAGCAGCATAACAGATACTAAAGTTGGTTACAAGAGATTCAATAGTTAGCCCTGACCCCAAGTGTATAGGTCAAGCTATGGCATAAAATTATCGAAGTCTGGGTGTGGGACAGGTATCCCAGCAAATAGGTGAGCATGTCTTACTGTTGATCTAGAGAGTAACCCCCTAGTAAGTTAGGGGCTAAAAAGGAGGGCACCTTAGAGCAGCCGTGTGATGCTTTATGCACGAATGGGGGGTACTAGGTCTGGGAACTGCAACACTGCAGAGGGAGGGACCCGGGATATATAGAAATATATAGACTAGACTCTGTATTACCTTGTAATATACTTAACTATTTAGACATAATAAAGTAGTTACCGTTGAAACCAAAAAAAAAAAAATAAAGTCAATATTCTATTTATTTTAAATTTTTTTTTAAATATGATTAGTAAATTTAATATTTATATTTTATAATATATGAGTTTCATCGAGGCAAACAAATAGAGATTTTTTAAAAAAAAATTATAAAGTTTACGATTTAAAATTTCATATGTAAAACATATAAAATTTGTAAATTTGATTTTAAAATTAAATATAAAATCGTAAAAAATTTTTTTAAAAAAACTTAACTATAATTATTAAAGTAGTGCTATTATATTTTAAAAGCAATACAAAAAAAAAATTATTTTTATAAAAAAAATGTAAGTTTGAATATAACATAAAACTTATAATTAAATTTCGCAAAATTTATATAGTAAAAACTTAGTAAAAATCTAAAATTTTAAAATTGTTAAAAATCCAAAGTTTAATAATAAATATTTTGTAAATTTATATGATTAGAAATTTTGATATTTATATTTTATAGTGTATAATTTTCACTGGGGCAAGATAAAATTGATTTTTTTTCCTAAAAAGGAATTTATATATAATTTTCTATGAAATTGATCATTGGGTGTTACTTTTGTTGGCTATTGTAAGTAATTAGTAACAATGAAAGTATGGTTTTAGCCTTAGTAAAGTAATCAATAATTAAGAAGTAATTAGATTATAGTATATTTAGTAAGTAAGTAGGGAATTAACTTTGTCTTTTCATCGAACCCAACTTTTCATTCTGGTTATATTGATCTCTCTCATCCTACTCACATTAGAGCAACACATAATTTTCATGGCCTGCTGGGACAGCAGTCATAGATAAGAGTAGATAGTGGGATACATTAGGATTATATACTTAAAAATGTTAAATATGGCCTGTTGAGACGATGGTCACAAAATAATAATAATTTATAGCCTGTCGGAACAACAGTCATAATACAAAAAGTAAATGAAAAATGGGAAAGAAAGAGTATACTGCACGATTCTATAAATAACTGCATAGGTTGTATGATAGCAGAAGGGTATGTTTTTTCATAGTGATAGTTTATTACAAAATAAAAGATAAAACAAATAGAAATGTGAAAACTTATATTTATAATCATATTAATTTTATAGTTTTGCTCTACTCTGGGAGTTTTGAATTTTTGAATTATATTTATGCATTATATAAACTTACATATCTTTACTATTTTTAACTGGGATATGGATAAAGTTAATAATATGCAAAAGCGAACTATATACTATATATTACCAGAACAGTAAGCTCAGCAAAGTAATTTTTTTCAGTAATTCATGATAAAATCACAAAAATTCTAATAAAAAAATTAATTTAACCTTGACTATATACTATTTATGACTAGAATAGTAAATTAATTAACAAGATCTTTAACAGTAACTAATATTGAAAATATGTTAATTCAAATACAAAATAATTTACCACATATGTTTACTGGAGTGGTAAGTAAATTTTATAATATGATTTTTACAGCATTGCAATACAAACCAACTCGACTTTAACTACCAACTATTGCAACTGGAATAGTAAGTAAGATTTACTTAAGCTCATAATTGAAGTTACAATAATTCGATGCAAACTAACTTGACCTTAAATACACATCATGCTGATTAAAATGGCAAATTCTTTAACAGAAAAAATATTTAATAGCTACTCTTTATAGAAATTACAATAATTCTAATACAAAATTAACACACTATATTTTTGATTTATTGTGGCAACTCATGAGAGGAATTACAATAATTCCAATATAAATTTTACATCAATTACAAACTAGGATAGCGAATAACTTATGTTTTAAGTAGAAGTCATGATAATTTCAATAACATATATTCAAATACCTGAAGCAAGTAATTTTTAAAGTAACAACTGAGTTTGAAAAAAATTCTCATGACAAAGTCACAGGCAGGGAGCTAGTTTAAATAATTGCAAATTATTAATAAAAAAATTTTTAGACAAAAAATCAAGCTTTTATTCTATTGTTCTATTTGCCAATGCTGAATTATATGTATATATTGGGTGCTGATTATACTTTACTTAAGAAAGATATTGATTATTTTAATAAAATTTAGAGTAATTTTAATTTATATTTTTGTTAATGACAACCCTGCCTGTGGCCACACGTGAGAGTGCAAGCATACCACTGCTACGTTGCCTTTTCGATTTGCTGACAGTTTGTCAACTCCAATAATTTTTGGGGTAGTTTGTAGGACAGATGATAATAAAATTGTACCCATAATTGGTAAAATTCCACTGATCCGTCGATATGAGCTTCGGACATTTATTCTTTTGGAATGATTATGTGAGAGGAAGTGTTGTATTTTTCAACTATATAAAGGTGGTAATTTAAGATTGGTAATAGAAATTTGTAATCAACCATTATTAAAGGCACAACATCATGTTATCAAAACTTTAAGAAATATTGGAATAAAAGATCCAGAAACGATGATTGTCTGCAGAAATTCATGAAATTATATTAAAATGGAAGAATAGTCTAAAATTTTGACTAATTTTAAAAACCTGATAAAGAAATGGTAATTGAAAATAATAGCTTTAATAATGTAAAAGATATTAAAATTCATACTAACAAGTTCAGCAGTTATATTAGCTAACAATCGCCCCCAAATACATAATTGATGATGAATTTATTTCTAATAATAATAATTATATAGAAGATATATTCAAGGGTTAATGAAATTTTCAACAATAAATACAAAAACCTAGTGGAATTTTTCAAAAGTGTAGAACATTGTAAAATTTTCAACGAATTTTATATATAGAATTAAACTAATAAAAACCTTGCACTATCATTATCAAGTTAGTTGTTGTTAACGTTTCTATTTATTTTTCATCATCATTATTAGCTGTTATTGGTTCTATTTACATTTTCAATATCTATAACTTATTAATATATAATATATTGACCAACAGATTGAGTAAATCTACTGATATAATGTGCATTGGGATGAACAGAGAGCAAAAAGATATCTTTGCATTTATTAAGTATTTTCATCAGACATACTAAGTTGTGGTTATAATTACAATGTTCATTTAACAAACTATTTAAGGTGTTATATAATTTTCTAGTCCCTGTACGTTCTTCTAAATTCCATGCCAGTACTGCAACATTAAATTGTAATAACATGGTAGTGTTTTATCGATAGTGTGGGTTGAAATTCACTAATTATATTGTTACATGAGAATTGCCTCCCAATATCTCTATGACCATTGTACATACTACTATGGGATCTTCAGGGATATTATAAACTTACCTCTGTTATATGGTGAGTGTGATACACTTATCAACAACTCAAAGAAGAACTTGATTAGTGTTATGAGCTAATGTGCAACACAGATCGTCCTGAACCGCCAAACTGTTGATTTTTAAGGATCAAAGTGCGATCGCCTTACTAATATTCGTATTGTCCCCTTATCTGTATTATCATACACAGGGCCCCATTTTCCCAAATTGTTAAACCATACACATCACTTTTAGTTACCAAATCGGTCCTGATATTGGTGATATGAAGTGTAGAGACAACACATGCAATAATATCAATGGTAGTCCCTAAAAGGGTCTATTCACTACTGCGTTGATGATCCTAACACCAAACTGGCCTCATTACCACCGCTATTTCGACAAAAAGCTTCATTTTACCCATGTCATCCATATGGATGAACAAGAAATGAATAAACTTAGGACTTTATACAAAATTATTATCAAGATTGTGATGGATCAAAGCCTATTAAGGACAAAGAGCCGAAGCATACACGTGTAATAGTAAAGGGATTGGTGTTGATAAGAATAGTGATTGAGTTATTAATAGATCAATAGATAATAATAGAGTTGTAGTCATCTATTGTAAATAATTATATGGCCACGTTTGTTATATAAAGAACATGAATTAGCCTAGTTAGCTTTTTCAGACTTCAATTCTCCTTTAATATTTATATAACTTTATATAAATCCCTTAATAGCCTCTTTGAATTCTCCACTGTATTTCTTTTTAACTATCTCCATACAGTTATCTTTTGTTGTTATAATAAACTCATTCGTGTCTTCAAACACGATCTCATTGATTCATTTTTGTATAGTGCAGACAACCTTGTCCCAATCAATATAATTGATGAAATTCAAATTGCTAATTCTTTTTTTTAAAAAATAGTAAAAAAAAAATACTATCTTAAATGCTAAATTAAAACAAGCTAAACACTTCTACGTTCTTAAATATTTTGTAAATCTATTTATAAAAAAGATATAGCAAGTTGAAGTATAGTATTTTTATAATTAAAGATAAAATTTGGCCACCTTTTTTATATATAAAAAAAGCAAATTTGGCCTTTTAAAAATTTAAATCTGGCCACTTTATATAAATTAAAATTTAAATTTGGCCACTTTATATATATTAAAATTTTAAATTTGGCCACTTTATATATAAATATTAGCTAAAATTTCAAATTGGCCTCTTTATATATATAAAAAATAAAATCTAAATTTGGCCAATAAAATTTTTATTGGTTGGAACTAGGTTGTTTGCACTGTATAATTACATGTAACTTGTGATTGTTGAAGTATTATTGTGTTGTCACATGTGACTCGTGACTCTTTCTCTCAATACTCTGTATCTTCATACACGTTGTATTGTTGCCTCTTTCAATAAAGCCTTATAAACCTCTTGTTAAGTCATTCATTTGACGCCTCTTAACCTCGCTAAATCACTAAATTAATAGTCTAGGTAGACTAACCCCATAGTTTCTGGAAGTTGTATTAGAGATCAACTTCACGTATAACAATATTAATCAGAAGACTGATTTCTTGTGCACGGTTTGCAAATGTATATCTTTCAGAAGTTATTTTTTCCACATAATTATGCCAAAAGAATAAATATCAGATGCATTTGTATATGAAGCTATATATTGTACCACACCGTAACAACCATGTTTTTTTATTATTTATATTGAGTTCGGAAATCTAAATATAAGAATTAAAATAATTATCTAACAAAATATTAACTGGATGAGGTTTTTATGTACAAGATTAACTTCAAAATTGTTATTAAATCTATCACAATTTGAATTAGCATCTTTACTTTTTCATTTCAGGTTTTTTTGTGTCCTATGAATTCTAAATTCTTACTCAAAAAATTTTTCTCAAAATGCTACATTACAATTATATAATTTTTTTGTTTCTGGATGTCAAGTAACTCCGTAGCATTCTAAGAATTAGTTAAGTTACTATTCATACTCCTACACTTATAAAAGTCATAGGAAGATATTCATATAATTGATTAATTTTTGTCATTCTACCCATGATTGACCAGCCAATCAAGTTACGTAATTTTTAAAACATTTATCATTTTAAATACTACTAGAAAATTCACTTAAAGAAGTATACAAACCAATAATTACATACAAAGAATTTATCACATAAAGCTAAAAAACAAATAGATATGCATAGTGTGAGGTAAATGTAATATTTATTATTAAAAAACCCGAATCCATTTACTGTTAAAGAGTTAATATGTTAATAAATTATTAGCAAAGCTACCTTTATATTATCTTTATTATTTTTTGAAAAATTAAAGTAATTTAATCTTATTTTATTATTGACCTTTATTAGAGATATAACATGATCTTAGCCCACGTATTAATGAATGAAACAATAATACTCATATTCATGTTATTGGCCTATTACATAATCTGAAATTCTAATTTTTTAATTCTATAATATTCATATATGTAAACTAAGACTTTAATGTAAGCTTTTTGTTATAATAGCACATTAAATCAGTGTTGTCAATTGGGCATGTTCAATCAAATATTTTGATTGGACAGTTTTGGACATGTTCAAAACTGTCCAAAATTGTCCAAAATTGTCCAAAACTATTCAAAATTAGGTTGAAATTATTAATAAGTAATATAGTATTTTTAAGCAATTTAAAGTTTTTTATAATTAAAAATTTAGAATTTGAAGCTATTATTTAGGTTATTGGTAATATTAT